CAGATCTGTTAGGAGTCCGGTATTCAATTGACTTCGCGAGCTACTGACCCTATCTTACACTTGACAACCATATATTTCGCTGAATAGGTGGCTTCGTTAAATAAAGTGAAGTTTTGTTTGCCGTTAACGACCCCTACGCGGCAGTTGCTTCGAGAGCGTAGTTTTTACTGCTTTCAGCAATATTAGCTAGTTCCGACTTGCTTCTTCGATCTCCAAACCTTCTACTCTCTTGACAACAATGCATTGAAGTCTTGTGGACTTTGCTAATGCTTTAGAGGTGGATTGTGCACAGCACGACTTTGTTGGGTAGCGATTTTCAGTCGTTTGCGGAAGATTGATCGCATGTGAACCATTCTAATGCATTGAAGTGCGAACTCGCTAAGCAAGTGGCAATCCAGAAGAAACTCGTGAAGCATCACTGGGCGAGATATTACACGAAGCATCAGGAATTTGCACCTCCGCAGGAAGAGACTTCGGACCCAGAGAGTGAAGACAAGGCCCCGTGTGAGAGTGTCGAAACTCAACCGGAAGGTGAGCCAACGTCTGAAAACGGTGATGCTGTGACGTCGATGGCGATCGATTGGACTGGTGTGTTCGATCCTGCGACGGATTCTCCGGACGTCATTGAGATGAAGAAACTTCGACATGAAATTACGCTGGCAAAGGACCAACTTTTGCGCGATATAAGTGGAGGCGGGGATCATGAGTCTGGTGCTACACTCAATACCGATCAGAAGGCTCTCATTGAAGAATGCAACGGACTTGCTGGGCTTCTGCAGGCAGAACCAGAGCCCTGACGTGCGATAGCCGATAGCTGACCCGGGAACTCCTCGTCGGCCTTGGAGATGCCGTAGAACTCGGCCAGTGCCGCCACGAGACACGCGTAACCCGCGGCGGACGATGCAAGTCCTGCCGCCGTCGGGAACGAATTCGTAGACACGATGTGCAGATGCTGCGACTTGCTCTCGCCGTGCACGCGTTGTGCCAGCTCGCGCATTTCGCGCAACACCACGGCCACGCGCTTGTTAATAGGCTGTTCCTGGCCGTTGAGCCACAGCCGCGTTGCCTGCAGCGCAGAATCGCCAGCTACAGACGTCGTGGTGCGCAGCTGATCCTGGTGCAGCGTCACGCTGACCGACGAGTTGATGGGCGTGTTAAGAGCCACATTATCCTTGCCCCAGTACTTGATCACCGCGATATTCGTGGGCGCTGAGCACGTAGTCACCTTCATGTTGTCACCTTGGACGAAGATACTGCAATGAGAGGTCCAAAAAGTTACACGAACGATCGACGCCACGTCAGATCATTTTTCCCACATGGCTACAATACACAAACCCAACACCAAATATGAAATTCCACTG